GGTAAAACCTGTCGGATTGAACGTGTCTAGACAAAAACGCCAAAAATTCAAATATCGTATTTCTGTGTAAGGTAAGGGTCATGCTTTATGCAAAACATGCTTAAAGGACACTTTCACCTGGCAAAGGACGAAGAGAATTGGATTACCTACATAGAACCACCAACCACTCTATCAAATTATCAAGCCGCTCTGAGAAGCAACTTATCGATCTATGTGATATCAAAGCAAGTGTAACGCTGAAGGCGGTTATACCAGCTATACAGGGAATATACAGAAAGCAAGAAAGGACATCCTAGAAGAAACACGACCTTATCATTGCAAGACCACCTTGTAACAAGGTTTACTCTACGCTTGCTTTTTAGTATTCATTATTTTGAAGACAGAACATGAATTCATGAAGAAAATTCACACATACATGATGAAGACGTGGTTTTAAAATAGCTTTGAGGTGGCATTTGGATTGCCGTAGTGGGCCTTGGAAGAAAAGCTGATATTTCTTACCATTGCTCATAACTCTTAGATTGGATCAAAGGATTCTTGACTCTGCCACCACAGGGTGTCATATAATGCTCCCTCACAGTAAGACGCTACTATTTAATCGTCTGCGTTGTTCAAAGAAGACATGAAAGACCCAAAATGCCTTCACCGGTTTTGGTCTAAACACGACTTTTGAAATTAATGACGGGTATCTTCACGGCATTTAGGTAAGTGAAAAATGATGCGGGAAAAACCTCTACTGGATCGCAAGCTGTGTGACCGCACTGACTCTGCAAAACTCTCAAAGGATAGTCTACTGGTGCTAAGCCTTTTAAAGTGTGCATTGAGAAACAAAGGGCATCTGTTCTACTTCACCAACGCAGTGACTAAACCACAAGTTTATGTTTAAAGAGCCAAGGGCTAAAGATCCCAGTGTCATTTTTACAAACAAAAATTTATGTACCTTAATACAAAATAATTATTACAAACATGTACACCTCTAGACTAAAACATTATGATTAGAGACTCAAGGGCTAAAGAGATTGATGCCAATTTTGCAAAAACAAAGAAAGCTCTTATGTAATCGTAAAAACGACAACTGTTCATACAATGTGTATGCCTTGCTTTACCTGTAAATATTCACGGATACTTTCCATCATATTTTCCATATATTCTCTAGTTTATCCCCCCACAACTAATAACTGGCTACGTCTGGTTTTAAAGATAAAAATAGATACAAATGATTCTATAGATAGAAATTGTGGCATAAATATAATGGTATATTACGTATACTATTCAGCCATTCATTCTATAGCCTCCTCAAAGGTCACATTCTATAGTGCTAAATAAGGCAGTTTAATTGTGATCTCCCACAGTCATGGTTTCTTAAGTATCTAATTTAGACTGAATATGGACTTGGCGAATATTAGTATAGATTATGTGTGCCAATGTGTGACATTGACTATCTGAACGATTTGATTTCTAGTATTGATTTGTAAAGAAAGTAATATCAAACAATGTATTGTACAATATTTTTTTTTCATTTCATTTATCTATTTTACTTTGTCTAGTAGATCACGCTTAGGGCTATGTCCTGTTTTTCAGGGGTCCCTGGGTACATAAAAGATCGAATACGTACATGCATACATACTCAATAAATAAATATAATAAATACAGCAAGAATACAAATTAATTAAATTGATATATTGAAAATAATGGGGAACATAATAAGTTCAGAAAAAAATGGAATACAGTCCTATTTAAGGCTGTTTAAAAGCCACTGTGGTGGTGTGTTTCACTTGTATGATATTCATATCATCATTTTCATTACAATTATCCATTTTTATACAAAAAGTAATACTATTTGAGTGCCTTAGATCTAATCATCCATTGCTGTCAATGGTGCATGTAACTTCTTTGTGTCTTTATGACCGTGTGCTGACATTGGGATAGTACGAATCAATTTTCAGAAATTGGACGATTTGTACGATGATTTCTATTCTAAAGCACATTAACGGATCAGTTAAGCATATCTCCTTCCCCACTTTCGCAGTAATTGAATTAAAATTTGAAAGCGAGAAGACTATATTGTATGGCGCGTGGGTGCAAAATAATTGCGAGATTTTCAGCGATGTGAATTAACACGTTATCTTTTACTTCAACAATACCGCACCTGAGAACACCAACTGTTTTACAACCATATTAATGTCATTATGGTTATCGGACATAGTCTAATAAGGGGAAGTGACCATATAATTTAGTGCTATATCTGCCCTAAGCTTGTATTTTGCTTATATATAGATTGGCGATGCTTTGATAATCTACCAATTTTGAAGCTATGTCTAAAGCTATGTCTTGAGGGTTTGACTTCTCTTTTGTCAACCATGGCGGACGTAATGCCCCATTTTTTTCCAAAATTTGTGGGTTTTGAGTAGTTAAAAGAAGAATATTTTTCTTTGTAAGATAGAGAAATTGGGGTGAAATCTAGAGGTTTGAATCGTAACAAAAAGTGAATGTTTTGGAAATGGAGACATATCCATTTTTTCATTGATAAGACGCTTGCTACATGAGTCGTAAAGAGACCGGCTTTATTCTTTGTACCACGGCTTTTAACCTAACTATTGCCCGCGGCAGACACTGTCAAACATAGCGGACCCCCTTTGGCATATAAATCCGTAACTATAGCCGCCGAAGGTGACCCCAGAACAACGATACATGCAGAATAGCCAATTACACCCTACATTTGCCACAGCTAAACAGATACAGACACAAAGCCAGCCTCCTAGCTTCCTAAGATATATACTAAATCCTTCAGTGACTACAGAAAGCAATCCCAAAGCACCTCATCAGAAGGACCTGCCCAATTACTGCTTCAAAACTGACCCGAAACGTTGGAAGTCTAAAGCTGGATAACACTCCCTTTGGGATAAAAGTTCAATAAATAAACTGGCGATATCCACAAGAAAGCACGACTTACCCCACTTAGTACCTACCTACTGACCGATCTAGTTAGGACTTAATGAAGGTATTTGCCATACCCACTATACCCCACTTGTTACCTATCTACTGACCGACCCAGTTGTTGCCATATCCACTATAAAGAACAATTTACCCCAGTATAAAGAACGGTTTACCCCATTATAAAGAACGATTTAAACCCACTAGTGTCCTTCCTGGTCAAAATAAAGGTGACGTGGGTGCCGTGGTCATTGGTAAGGTAGGCGCGGCTATTGAAGACTTGGATGATCACAACCTTAGAAAGACAGGCAAAGGTGCAGCAACGTTTGTCGTAGAACGTCGCACGATCTTGATGTCGTAGAATTTTCAAGCAGACCATGAAATAATCATCTACTGGCAGAGTTCTTAGGCAGTCTTTTCAATGGCTTACTTACTTATCTTCCACATCCCTTGTGTGACATAAGGCTGTAACAAGCTGAAGCTGCATTTTTACAGGTTCTCCCTAACAAGACAGCTAAATTATGTACAACACATGCACAACTGCCTAAGGAATGCCCTATTCTTGTGATAGTCGCACGACGTACGTGACCAGGTCCTAAGAACCTTAGCTAGAAAATATCTAAAACAAGAAATACAGTATTTGTGATCAAATTTCCGTCCAGCGATGCCGATTTCAGTTGGACATCCTTCACAGCATAACGGCATGAATTTCAGCACCCTGGACATCACCTTGGACATTCACAGACCTCTAAAACAAAATGACCTGAAATTTGGTATGGGGGATCCTTGGGTACAATCCCACAGAACGTTACTTACGTGTTTGGCATACAGCACCTAAAATTGTGTAAAATAGGACTTTTTTGCTATTTTAAAAGACAAGCTGGGGTGTTACGCCGAAGGGCGGTTATACCGGCTATACTAATACAGATACAGAACAACAGGTTTCTCATATCTTGCGCCTTAATTCTCCACTGACTACAGTTGTTTTCTACCTGAGACATTTTATACACTTACTATACGTGCGCTTGGTCTTTATTGATTGATTTTCCCCTAGAGTATCCTATCACAAAAAGGATGGACATAAGCGAATAGTTTCCTCGTCTCATATACGATGATCCGATCTTTCAAATGCGTCATACGTTGCAATTCGACCCTAGTGGCATACTCCTTTGTGTGTTGTTAAGTTGTTTATATTCCCTCTGCATCTAACCCGCACAGAAATTTGCCTGGCGTTGTTTATTTAGAGACAAGGGGGTCAGCGACCGCCACGATTCATAGACTAATCAATGGTGTTGGATTTCTCTTGACAAAACCTCTTGAGGGATTATAAACACTATCTTCGCAAGGATTTCCGCACTGGGGACAGGGAGTGATTACAAAGCGTGGCTATGTGGGTGGAAACATATTCTCTTCACAATGATTAGCTAGGTTTTAAGAGGGCTACTCAGAAATGTACACTGGCATCAGTGCACGTAGCAAGGTATGGGTAATCGTAATGGTCGTAGAGACCCGCTTTGAAACGCGCCTTAACGGCTTTTTAACGGTTCCATGTACCGCAAGGGAACGCAAAAAAGGTATCGGACAGGGAAGGAAAATGCATTTTGATGCAGTGGGACCTTTTAGAGTGAGATGTGTCCGCGTTAGACCAGGTACTAGCGCGAGGTGTTACAGCACTCACATTGTATTATCGTTTTTTCTCGAAACATTAGCACCGTTTCTATAGTTTGTTACTGGCTGAACTGCCCAAAACCAACATTATCAAAGTGTAAACAGTATCATGATTCACATCTTAATCAACGATTCTTTTCAACTTAGAGATGGGTACAGGCTCTTTAACAAATCTCTTTGCAAGAATGGTTTCATATTTCTAGTCTTCAAAAAATTAAAAGCTTTATGAGGAATGACATGACATAAGATGCAGGCTTTCAATAATATAATACTTGCTGTGAGCGTAATTACCATATGAAACAAATATTTCACATACCTGGTGACAAATTAGTTTAGCAAGAGTTAAGAAAGAACAGTGGAATAGAAATAGAAGTGAAGGGATACAAAATATAACCTACCATGAAGAACACCGCTGCCACCAAACAGCCAGATCTGATTCTGCAGCAGCAGCAGCATGTTTTGAAGATCGCCATCTCGACAACAGCGGCCGGCTGGCGAGGCGGCGATGTTTAGAATGAGCTAGAAGCGGGAGTTGTGTGGGAGTGTGAAGCGCCGCTGTGTCGTCAAATCTACCGGCTTGCCGTCGGCAACATGAAGCTGCCGCGAAATGAAATGTCGCAACGTGTACCTGCTGCGGTAAAAATCCAATTGTCGTAAAATCGAGTTAACGCGCAATCTCGTTCGCAGCTGGACTAACCTCTTGAAAGCTGCGCACGTATTCCACACTCAATAGTCTCAAACGTTTGATCTCAAACGTTTGATCTTTGTTTATGAATTTACGCCATGGTAAATAATTTCATCAAGTTGCAGAAGGTCTTAAGGATCCATCCTTATGCGACCTTATGCAGCTTGATGAGTTTTCGTTTGTCTGGACTTATATGGTTGACAGCGCGCCGGGCTCTAATGGTGGAGCATATTGAACTCCCGTCGTGCAAAACCTACCGGGGAGCCTAGCTACGTCGGGCGGGTGAAGAGATCCTGCAGCCCCAAAGAGAACCCGCTCCAATCGCGACAGATTGGACCACAGGATACAGTATTACGGTCAAACGCGCTTGTTACCGACATGAGAGGCAAAAACAATCTTACGTTCTTTCGTGTTTAGAAATAAACAATTGGAGCATAAAGCTAACGTTGCAAGTCAGTCCTTCAAATTGGAATATGACTTTCTTGAAATTAGACATTCACAATCTTAACGAATAGCTTATAATATACGCCAATAAAACACTTACTCAAGCACCTGTGTATGATTTTGGAAACGGTCAGATGTTTCAGGTAGCATCCACTACCTTTCGTAAGCGACACTGGAGAGCTGTCAAATTCAGCAGGTTTATAACCGCAAACTATTGATCGACGTGTAAATGATTGTCCAATAGGAAACAAAACTTAGACAAAGTCTGAAACGTCTGGCCGTTTCCAAAATCATATCCAGTTGCTTGAGTAACTGTTTTTGGCGTATCTCATTACCTAGGATGTCTAACTTTCACCTACAAAACAAGAAATTCACAAAAACTCCCACGGAGTTATGAGATATCCTGTTTATATGATTACAAGTATTGTTTTGTTTTTCACTACTTGCGTACGTTACGAGTATGTTCACGTTCCCAGGCCCACTGTGACGTCATGAGCCAAGTCACGTTCTCGTGCCGAACGTCGTTTATTCAAGCTAATTGGACGTCGATTGGTTTGGAAATGAAGAAAACGCGCAATTGCCATCATTATCTCCGACTGTGATAGTGTTCTTGAGACTTGTTATGGGGAGATTGCCTCCTGACAGGTGTCCCCGAAGGCACGTGGTTGTCAGTACTCCCACTCATCTTCAATTAAGCAGACGTAAGAACCATGCTCATTCTCCGTGTTTTGCAAACTTTGTTGCTCTTTTCTTTACAGTTGTGCAGTCACCTAAGTTAAAAAGTGCGATACTGGAAAACAGAGTAACTAGAAAGGTAAAGCAAATGCATAATGTTTACCTTCGCATATGGTCTGCTCTGTTAATTCTTACTCAAACACATCCATGGTGTATGGTGACAGGAGTCTAAATCCGTCCTGCTATTATCGAGGTAAATTCTGGTATAAAAACTGATAGTCTACTGTATAGTGTATTACGTATATCAACATAGTTAGGACATACAATCAAAAAGTGATGATCGCCCTCAATAGTAGCTGTCTGAATGTGTGATGTGGTTGGTACCTTAAATACCAGACTCACGTGTAGCTGGAATTCATCACTATTAATGGTAAACCCCACTTTTCGTGCAGTGTAATAAGATTGCAAATGATACCCTTATTCAGGATTATTCTTCAGCAGCCATAGCTTTATGTCAACGATCTAATAAAAGCTCGTGTGATAGAGAACACGTTTCTTCTTTTGCACACAAATACCTGTAGCTAAACAAGATGGACTGATAGACATCGAAAATTTGGGGGTTAGTATTCTTACCCTAGCTTAAAAAAAAACTTGACACTGCTGAAAGAATTCTCTAGTACATGACAAATGAATCTCTTCAACGATGCAGCTAAAAGCATACATGAACGACGTAACAGCAGGTTCATAGATACTGGATATATTTAGCCTATGCTTCCAGTCATGTTACAAAGTCCTATCTGTTCTTAAAAGAACTTTATGGACACAAAGGCCGTGTTATTTTCATCATCTATTAGCGTAAGTAGTTCCATTTCCTCTTCATTTTCACCTCAACTTCCAGCCCGTATACGTATAACTACATATTCTTGATTCATGTAAGTAGTTCCATTTCCTCTTCATTTTTAGTTCAACTTCCAGCCCGTATACGTATAACTACATATTCTTGATTCATGTAAGTAGTTCCATTTCCTCATCATTTTCACTTCAACTTCCAGCCCGTATACGTATAACTACATATTCTTGATCCCTTGAATACGTGTGCGTAGTTTGCGGTACTTTACTTAAATGCATTTTGTGGTACTTAACCTTCCGCCTTCATCAGGGAAAGCGAAACCACATCTCCAAACCTAAATTTAGATCTAAAAGACTGAGAGAATCCTTCCTCTTTCAGGCAATAAGCCTCAGCAATCAGGACCTGTAAATAGTCTGCCTCTGTTTCTAATAGACCCACCCATCAATACATGTATCTGTAACTTTCTATAACTACAATCGCCAATGCCATTCTTTTTAAAGTTTTTAATCTGTAACACTTTGTGTTATTCAGTCAACTTGGCTTCAACCCACTTGGCTTCAGCCAACTTGGCTTCCTATTTATTCACATTGCAATATATGTTCTAGTGGTATTCCTCATATCTTGTTAAACTATAAGGTTCATAAACTTGTTATAATCCCCTTCCATGCAACCTTTAGGTGTGAATTGGGAATAAAGATTATTAATATGATATATATACAAGAATGTGTTATTAGAAGATTAGGTACCTTGTTTTGGGGCTATTTCAAACAGTGGATGTATAAAATAATAATGATGAGAAAAATGTGCTACGGAGTGGTGGTAATTGTCAATATCAGACAGATTTTCTCATCCAGAATAGTCTTTGTTGTTTTGCCGTACTGAAATTGCATGGGATGCCTTAAAATGCATTGAAATTCCTTTTCTGTGCACCTAATTTAAGACTATAGGAAAATTAGAGCTATACACCCCCTGTTGCTATCTTTCGCCGCATTGAAATTCAAACACAAGCCGATATCTATCGACTTTGTCATCAACCGGCGCTCCTGTTCCAGCTAAATTAGGGCACCTCGCAGTGACACCAATTACTTTTTTAAGGCCACTCATCTAATGGGCCGTAATTAAGGGACATTACGAGGTAATCAATTTTCTTCCGTCTTAAATTTAGGATGAACCTTTTTTCAGGTGAAGGCTGTTGGTAGTAAATGTTGGTTGAATTATGTTTGTACGCTACAATAGTTGCATCCGTTTTAGACTCGCCGGGATATATTATTCAGCTATAGTATAGCGGTATATCAGTTACGTGGTAGCCATTTTGTTTGTCTGTATATAAGTACTTTTCATTCACAGAGGGAAAATACAATCAGGTAAGAAAATCTGTTTGTTTGTTTGTTTGTTACCTAGTTTGTTATGTTTACCGAAGGAAAACATATTCTTTTTGCTGTTTTTTTTCCTTCTCCAAACCAATAAGGTCAATGACCTAAACCAGACGTCTATCACTATGGTAACTAGTGTAGGGTTACATAATGTTGCAATTTTATTGCAGGAGGGATTTACACTTCTGTCTGCCAACATTATGCATTTTCTTTGCCAATGTTACCTTTCTAGTGTATTATGTAAACTTTGTCAAGAAACCCCATGCAATTCAGCCTTCGGCTGCCAAGTTTGATTTTCTGTCCAGGGCCAGGGAAGCGAATCCAATAAACCATTATTACAATTGTTCTTCAGAAACCAAGACGGCAGTAAAACGTGACAGTGCTCCACACAACTTCCGTTTGAAAATTAGCAGCTGTTGCCGTCACTACCTTTCATCAGGAAATACTTGATACAGAGAGCGGAATTGGAAATTAGATGAAAACACTTATGGGTGCAGATTGCCTATTGAAAAAGTCGGGACAATTACTTTGAAGAGATCTTCGTCAGCCTCGATGTTAGTAAAAGCTAATTGCAATGGTAGTAAATGCCAGTAAAGTTACGTACTGTTAACTTTATAAACAGTACCAGACTTTAGATTGGTAGTAAATAAAAGGTAAGTCTAGTAATTCCATCTATTACAGTAACTATACCATCGCTAAATCCAAAGTTACCGAAGGTGACAGCCGACTTGACTGACATTTACTACCAATCCGACTTTTTGTGCGGTGATATAAGTTATTGCAGTGACAGTTTTCGACTATGCAGCATTACATCGTCAACTATATTGAACAGTAACTGGACTTTGAAGTGTTCAGGACATCTTGATTTGAATTTCTGGAAGAATCATTTCCCTGCAGGCATTGAGGTCGACCTATTTCTTGGAAATGATATCTTTAATTTCAGCAGATTTATGACTAACATTGTCAACTCCAAAAAGGGCTCAGGACTTTGAAATGTTCAGGAAAGTTACATAGTCTCGATTTAAATTCCTGGAAGAATTCCTTCCCAGGCATTGATCTCAAACGATTCTTGGAAATCGTCTCAGCAAATCTATCGGCAGTAACCTGTAAGTTAAGGTAACATTGTCAAATTTGAAACGGTCTTTGGACTTTGAAATGTTTAGGAAAGTTACATAAAGTCTCGATTCAAATTCCCGGAAGAATTCCCTTCAGGCATTGATCTAGGTCAATTTTTTTAGAAATGTGTCTTTGATTTCAGCAGATCTATGGGCAGTAACCTATAAGTTAAGGTAACATTGTCAAATTTGAAACGGTCGTTGGACTTTGAAATGTTTAGGAAAGTTACATAGTCTCGATTCAAATTCCCGGAAGAATTCTCTTCAGGCATTGATCATTGATTTCTTAGAAATGTGTCTTTGATTTCAGCAGATTTATGAGCGGTGACCT